TCCTGACAGAGAAAAGGTGCAGGGTGCTAAACAGCTGCAAGAAGCTGCAACTTCAAAGAACCAAGGCCTTTGGGCAGAGTGGGGTCCTCCTTAGTGGTGAGACCCTGCACCAGGGTGGGGGATAACGTTTTCTGAGTGCTTGCTTCATGCCAGGCAGATGCTACCCATTCCACACAGCTTTTCCTGAGGACAAACTTGTTTTCTGTATTTATAAATGAAGGCAAAGTGAAGTCACTAGAGCTGGGTGCGGCGGGTCTGTAATCCCAACACAAGAGGCTGAGGCAGGAGGATCACTGTGAGCTCAAAGTCGGCCTGGGTTACTGAGTAAGATCTTGTCTCAAAACCACCACCACAAAAAAAGTGAAGTGACTAGTCAAGATACAGTGGCAGCTGGGCATGGTGGCAGATGACTGTAATCCCAGCTACTTAGGAGGCTGAGGTAGGAGGATCACAAGAAAGAGGCCAGCCCGGGTAGGGCTAGGGATGTTAACTCAGTGGCAGAGAATGCTTGTCTAACGTATGGAAGGTCCTGGATTCAATTCCTTGTAACACACACACACACCTCTCCACCCGGCTGGGAAGCCAGTCCTGACCCAGGTCAGGTCCTGGCAGTCTGCTCTCTAGTTCTTCTAAAGAAACACAGGGTGGAGAGCTGTTAGTCTGTGGCTAAAGCTATCATACACCACTTGTGATGAAAAGAGCTGATTCGGGACTGAGGAGCAGAGTAACCAGAGGTAAGTGACCAGCTCTGCTTCACACTGCTCTACAGTCAAAGACACACATGCAGTCTGACAGCCAGCCTGGGGATCTCCCTACCACAGCTCTCTCTTTTTCAATTTTCAATAATAGTGCTCAAACCCAGGAGTGCTCCCCCACTGAGCTATATCTTCATTTCTTCATTTTTGAGTTCAGAGTCCTGCTAAATTGCCCAAGGAGGTCTCCAACTTTCAATCCTCCTGCCTCAGCCTTCCAACTGCTGGGACCTCTGGCATGCTGAGTAAGATCCTACCACACCTTTTAATGAAGTGGCTCACTCCCAGAATTCATCAGTTCCTACTAAAATCCTGACTTCTATGGTAAACACTCCCTTAAAGTACAATATCTAAATCACAAAGTGTTAGCCATCACTTGTGAATTTTAGCACGTCCATAAAGTGGATTTTTATAATGAATTAAAAGTAAAGCCAGATGTAGTGGTATACACTGTAATCCCAGCATTTGGGAGGCTGGGACAGGAGGATTGCCACAAGTTTAAGGCCAGCCTAGGCTATAAAGTGAGTTCAACGCCAGACTGAAAAATAGAGTAAAACCCTGTTTCATTAAAAAAAAAAAAAAAAAAAAAAAAAAGTCGTGAGTTCAATCCCTGGCACCAAAAAAAAAAAAAAAAAAAAAAAAAAGGCATAGAAAATGTGTCCGAGAAAGAGAAGAGCAAACAGTTTCACTAACAAGTGACAGCAAATAAAACGCAAGCCAAGCATCTTGTGCAGTACACATTGCCACTCCATGTAAAAGCAGGACCCATTGTAGACAAGCGAGCACTGAAGTGACAGTTAAACCAACGATAGCCACAAATTTCCCAATCCAATTAAAAGCACTGGATCCAACGTTAAAATACAGGTTGCTTTTTAAAAGGCATGTTACTTCAAAATGAGCCACCACCAAAACCAGGCATGGTGGCACATACATGTAAGCCCAGTACTCTAGGAAGCTGAGGCACAAAGGCTCTGGTTCCAACCCCAGAACAAACAACAATAATACTACTATTATTTCCCATTAATAATTTCCTCCTCTAGAGGCTAAGACTGTAAGCTCACTGGTAGAGCATGCCTAGCATGCTGGGTTCCACTCCCAGCACCACCAAAAACACACAAAAAATCCTGTGTTAGGGAGTCACGGTTTCTAGCCAGAGACATAACGCATCAGTGTAAGCGACTGCCTGGCAAGTCCAAGGTCCTGAGTTCAATTCCCAGTACAAAAAAAAAGTTTTTGTTTCAGCACATACAAACTACACTGCTGAAAATCAACTGGAGATAAAACTGACACAACATGTACTTCAGAAAACATAGACCTGGGGTCCATCCCACACCCTGTAGCTGTGCTTCCCGTTATTATACAAAGAAATACTTTGCATTTCGAAGTGATGCTCTGCAAGTCTAAGACAGAACTCCCCCAAGGCAGGGACACTCACCCTCCCCCACCACTCTTCTCCTGTGCAGATGGCAAGGGGTGGTGAAGACAGCCCCACTCTAGCCTGGCCAGGACCACTTGCGGGGACTGACCACCTGCGGGGACCACGGTGAACCCCAACTATGGGGCAAGGCTGTGGCTTTTGTTTAAGACTCCAAATGGGGGAACCTCTGCCTTATGGTCAGAAATGGTGTTTTCATCCCCAAACCACAGCACGCTCCTCCATCTATCTGGTGGAGGTCTTAATCGGATGAAAACCACTGAGTCGGCACTTAGGACTAGGCTGCCCCACCTGCCCATTCACATCTCCAAGGATGACAGCACCAGTGCTGCCCAGTTACCAAGGGACTAGTAGGTGACCTCAACTCCAACCACTCCACAAACAGGATCATGAAGGGATCTACAGATAAGTAAAATTTGACTTAAAACAGAATCAATTCTGCATACTCACGTACCTTTAACCATACATAGTGGCAGAAAAAAGCCTTCTGATGAGTTTTATCCCTACCTCTCTTCTCAAAATCTGGTAAAATAAGGCCAGGCATGGTAGCAGGCACTAATCCCAGCACTCAGAAGACTGAGGCAGGAGGATCACTGTGAATCTGAGGCCAACCTGAACAGCATAGCAAGACCCTGTGTCTCCTAAACAAATAAATTCTGGTAAAAGGAAAAAACAAGGCAGCACTCACTGTGCAGCAGGGAGGCTCAGAAGTGTCAGTCTGCAGCAGCACATGCTCAGCAAGCCCACGGCCTGGATTCAACCCCCAGCACAAAAACACACCGCCATGGCAGGGAGGAAAAAGCAGTCCCATCACACCCTCAATTCCACAGTGCTCCTGACTTCTTGTACTCCTGTAAACAAACTGTGGGCATGGTGGCACAAGCCTGTAACACCAGCACACTGAGAGGCTGAGGCAGGAGGGTCATGAGTTTGAGAACAACCTTGAAAACTTATTTCAAAATAAAAAATATAAAAATAAATAAATAAAAATAAAAAATAAAATGAGGCTCACAAAACAGCTCAGTCAAGGGGAAAAAGAAAAATAGGCAGCCTCAGCAAGTTCACCCCTATATCTCACCAAACAGTCTAAAGACTGTCCGAATATGGCCCTGTGACATCTGCCAACTCAGAAAAGAGAACAACTCCAAAGCAGCCCGTCACCATCACCAGCGAGGTGGAGATACAAACTGAGACTTAAATGAACGTCAGAAATCAAAGTTCTGTGACTATCAAAAATGTCCTTTTCCTTAGGCCCATTCAATATATTTAAGTAAAGTTCTCCAAATGTATATAACAAAAATGTATCAAAACTGACCAACTTATACAAATGTTTGCTCAAGCTGATTTTTATAAATAATGTGTGGGGAAAAATATAACAGTAAGTGGGGAAAGCTTGACAACGAGCTTTATGTTCCCGGTATTACTGCAGACAGACCTGACCTACAAAATGAAGATAGGGTCAACTGTAACCAAAAAACAGTATGCTTCCCCTGGCGGCCAACTCCGGAATGAAGGAGCCGCACGGAAGAGAAAGCCTGGCCTCCCGGTTCCATCCTGTCACTCACTAAAGAGAAGTGACGACCAAAAAGGGAAGGTGTGGGGGAAGGGGAAAGTAGCAAACATGGGCTTCACAGAAACACCAACCTGGGGGTGAGGCTCCGAAAATGCAAGAGACTCGGGCTAACAAACCCGAATTCAGAGGGCAAATCTGGGGAAAGTCCTTTATTTCTAGAGTGCCCTCGCGGGGGGGGGGGGGGGGGGCCTGTCAGAATGTTCACCTCTAAGTACACCCAGAGTTTAGTACTTAATAACAGCTTGAGAGCAATCTCTTTTTTTCGAGTACCAAATCCTTGCAATTTTCTGCTGCCTTGTTTCCTAGGAAAAGCATTTATTTTTTTCAAACAAACTAGTGATCTAACCTACTTAGAGAACCTCCAGTTTTAAAGCCCTCCAAGCAGGAGGACCTTTCACTCCATCTTCACAAGACTGTTATCCCTGAAACAAATCCCACGTCCTTTCAAACGTTTTCTATACCAACAACCTTTAAAGTCTAGTCTCACACAGAGAAAGGCTAGAATCTCATGTGTTAAAATCTGACGAATTCCTTTGTCTGACTGAATTTTTTTTTTTTTTTTTCTTGTACCACTTTAAATTTGCTTCCACACAGAACAGCAGCGACAAGGGAAGTACATGCTCCATTCCGGGTACAGGCTTTCTGGGAGGTGGAAATCACTGGTTAGCCAAAGCTTCTGACGGTTCTATTCTTTCTCGACCTCTACCTCACCCCACCCTAACCCCAAAAAAAGAAGAGAGAAAAAAAGAAAATGATAAAGGAAATGCACACACATTTACATATAGGTCCTAAAAATCATACCGCGAGCCTCTCCTGCCTAGCCAGATGCCCTCTGATTTTGGGGGTCGTTATACCACTGGTCCCCAGGATGGTAGGAGTCCAGGGAATAGCGCCGGGACCCGAGCCTGGGGTCTCTATCCTCCTTCGTCCGGACCTGCCAAGACTCCGATCGTGGGCACTGCCACCCCCGGGCCGGCCCCCACCTGGGGGCGCACCTCACCTGGACGCGAGCACCCCCAGGTGCGGCCGCCTCCGGGACTGGGGCGCGGGGGAGGGGAGTGGGAAAGGTGCCGAGGCACGGACTCGAAGGGGGCCCGCAGGGACCCTCGAGCATGTAGAACACGCGCGTGTGAGCGCGGAGTCCCTTGATCGCCGCGTGCCCTGCGGACCCCCGGGCCGCTGCGCACAAAAACAAAGTTGTGCCGGGGTCCCGCGCCGCGGGCCAGCCGGCGCTACTCACCGGGGTCGAAGTCGGGCACCGACGCCTGGTACTGGGGTCCGACCCGCATGCCGCCGCCACCTGCGAGGAACGAGACGAGGTCAGCGGGGCCAGGCCGGGCCGGGCCGGGCCGGGCCGGGTCGGGTTGGGGCCAGGACCGGGGCCGCACCTACCGTGCTCCTCGTCGCTCGACGAGCCCGAGCTGCCTTCCTCCCAGGAGTTGCTGCCACTGTTGCCATTGGGCGCCGCCGCGGCCGCCGCCAAACTTTTATTCTGACCATTATTGGGAGCGGCGGTGGCCGCGGCGGCCGAGGCGACGGCGGCCGAGGAGGCGGCGGCGGCCGAGGCAGCGGCTGAGGCGGAGGCGGCCGAGGAGGCGGAGGCGGCCGCGGTGTTCCTCCCGCGCCGCTTCCCCGACACCTCGGGGCCCTTCTCCACCATGGCCGGCATCGGCGGGGCCCGGGGCCGGGCCAAGGCGGCGGGGACCCCGGCTCACGAGGACCGGGCGCCGGGCGAGGGCAGGGGACGCGGCGGGTGCGGGGACGGAGAGCGCGGACGCCCACTGGCGTATTCGAGGCCACGGGAGGCCCGGGCAGGCGGAGCGAGGAGCCGCCTCAAGCCCTCAGCGCCGAACCGAGAGCAACTTAAGCTCTCATCACCGCCCGCACTTCGCTGGCTCTAACTACTCCGGGACCCGCGGGCGGGGGGGGCGGGGCCTGAGCGGCGAGGGGCGGGCCTCGCGCAGCCTAACATGGCGGGCTTAGGCCCCTCCCTCTCGCGCTTCCATTGGTTCTCGTGGGATTTGGACGGCGAACGGCGACGGGGTTGGCTGCGGCGCCTGTCCGTCAGCGGGGACCGGGGCGGGGAGCGCGGGAAGGGGGAGGCCCCGCGCTTCCGTTGGTCGGGTTGGGTTGACGCGTATCGCCCACCGTACGTGGTTTGAGGTTTGTGATCGCTCTACGCCCCATGATCCATCTCTCGAGGCGACGGCGAGGACTTCGCCGCCCTCTCGCCCCTCCCCCGAGCCCCCTGCCTGCCCGCCCGCGCGCATGCCCCGCGGCCCCAGCCCCAGGCCCCCCGAGGCACCCCGCGGGGCGTCCCGTGGGCGTCCCGCCCCGCGCGCCGGGTGCGCTACGCGAGAGCGAGTGCCGGCGAGGTCGGGACTACTTTCCCGCGCGCGGAGGATTACATCCCCTTTGAATGGGCTCGATACAAAGAGGGGAAACTAATTGGAGAAACTAATTGCGCCCCCGCCTTTCCCAAGAGACTAAGGCGTGCGCGGGGCCGGGGAGCCGCGGGGACGGGGCGCCAGGAGGCCGGATCCCGGGAAAGCAGGGCTGTTGAGCTCGTTGGGGGGAGGGGGTCTCCGGAGGTCCCGAGGAACTGCGGGGAGCAAGAGGCAGGGGCCGCCTGTCGCGAGCTGGGTGGATCCAGGTGCGCGAGGATGGGGGCTGAGTACGGGCAACCCCGTCCTGGGGACCCTGCCCACAACTGCCGGCGGGGGAGGGAGGCAGGGCGGGGCCCCACCCCTAGGCCGGCCCCATGGGAAATCGTTTTTTCTTTCATTTTTCTTCTTTCCTCTCCTCTCTCCACCCCCTGTGGATGGCTGATTTTTCGTTCAGGTTATTTCAAACCTGAGCTTCATATGAGGACAGTTTACACTTGTTCAGGCTATAAATAGCTGTAGAGAGAAATTGGGAGTTTATAGTTCTAAAGTCTGAGTAAATAGCCAGGTTTTCTCTTCCACGTTTTTTTCTGCAGCACAAAACCGTCATAATTAACTTCACTAAATGACCTCCACGCTTCTGCTTCAGTCTAAGCTTGAACAAGGCCGAGAAGAGGAGCCCTGCCCCCACCAACCTCAGGGGTTCTCCCAGACTTCCCTTCAAAGGGTGCTCCATCCTACAGACTCCAGCCGCTGAAGCTATGCGCCCCTTGACAACGCTGCCCGCCAGCCGCCTTGGCAGCACCCAAGGGTGGGAGCCAGGAAGGGGGCCACTGACTCAGGGATGGGGAGCCCCGCCCCACTCGTTCCTGTCACCAAGATCTACCCCAGACAGGAGAGATGGACCTATGAGAGCAGGAACAGGCAGGCCCATCACCGCCAACACACACACACACACAGTACCCAGAGCTGGAGCTCAAGGCCGCTTCCTGCTGGGTTGTAACTGTGTGTGCCTCATTGGACTAAATGACCTGCCGCCCGTCCTTCTTTCCTCTTCCCTTCCTTCCTTTCCTTCTTCTCCTTCCTTCCTTCCCTCCTCCCAATGATGATGAATTTTATTCCTGAATCCCCAAAGCCCGGCCTTTTTCATTTCTTTGAACAAATGCACACCTAACAGGCAACACACCTAACCGCTCCAGTTAGAACTCAGTGACATGTACATTTCCCGTTAGCCTGTGAACTTTCAGCAGCATCCCCCATAAAATGCAGGAAGTGTCTCCCACTTCCGGATCCCACGGACTTTTGTAGAGCACACCTCTCCAGCCCTCCCTGTCTGTCACTGAGAAGGGAGCCTGAAAGAAGCCCTTTTTCCCATTGCTGGGGTGGGTGTCCACACACAGCCCTTTGTGTGTCGTTTTTGTGCTGAGACAGGTTGTAAGTTGCCCGGTCCTGCCCCAAACTCACAGTCCTGCCGTGGCATTCCCCAGTAGCTGTGAGAACAGCAGTTGCCGTACCCATACCCCAACTACACATGACTCACTGAGCAGATGTAAACTGGCGCTGGCACCCAGGCTGCCTGCAGCCTGCCCAGCTTTCCGTCTTCTCTCCTTGCTCCCGTTGTGGCCCCTCACCCCGTCCCCAGCTTGTGACCACCTCTCATTTCGCTCTCTTCCCTGCTTGACACAAATCCTGGCCTGGCATCCACTCTCCCTTCACCCTGCACCCTGGCACAGAGCCCCGCCGCCTTCATGCATTATCAGCTGCCTGGGATGACCCTGGGTCAGGGTTTCCCCTCCTGCTGCTCAGAGACCCATCTGCACCTGCCTCTCCCTCCAAGACTCCTCACCTCTGTTCTTGCTGGGGTCACATGGCCTGCGGCCAGGCCAGGCCATGTGTCCCGGTGCCACCAAGCCCCTCAGCAGCACCTGAGTAGGCCACCAGCAACTCCCTCCCTCCCTGGATGCCAAGACCCTGTCCAGTCCTGTCCCTCTGCTCACCCTGGACTCCTTCACTGTCTCCACCCCTCCTTCCACCCTATGGTTTCTGGGTTCCCGCTCACTCGGCCTTTACTGCTTCTCTGTGCCCAGAGCATAGGTGATGCTCAATAGATAGTTGTTAAGGGGGCTGGAGATTTAGCTCAGAGGCATAAGTGCCTGCGTTGCAAGCAGGCAGTCGTGAATTCGATCCCCGGTAACGATAAAAAGGAAAAAGACCAAAAAAAGAATAGTTAAGGTAGGTATACTACTGATTTCTCTGGGTTCACTGAAGAGAAAGATTTGTGCCAATATTGTTAAGCCAGTTGAATGCAGATGTCTTGTGCTCGGGGTGAGTGGTTTGGGATGACAGTGTGCAGCATATGTACCATTGTTGCCCCCAATTGTCTGTTTGGAAATTTTTAGGGGTTTTTTGGCTCTTTTGTTTTCTCCTTGAAATAAAATGGATTTGGGAAAAAAGACAGATAGTTTTTGAGTGAGGAATGGTAGGACGGATAGGCAGATGGACAGAGATAGGTGGGCGGGTGGGTGGATGGATAAAGGGATGGGTGGGTGGACTGGAGGGTAACAGGAAACAGAGGCTGCTGCAGGTGCTCAGGAGGAGCCTCTGGGACACGGTCCCTGGAACAAATAAGGTGCAACAACTGAGACACAGAACATGCTCTGTGGGGAGGGTGTATGGCTTCACTGCCAGTGCCCGCCCTGAAATATCCAGCCCCTTCTGGGGGCCACTCCAGCGGTCCTGGCTGCTGACCAGCACAGGAGTGGGTCAGCCCTGAGCAGGCAACTCCGCCAGGCCTGTCAAAGCCCTTTGGAGAACTCAGGAAAGCCCCCTCCCTTTCTGAATTTAAGAGCTAGGAGAGCTGGTGCCCCAGAGCAGGGACAGCCTGTCTGGTGGGAGGCCTCTCCAGCCCTGCCTGCCTCCAGGAGGAGCAGGGAGGAGGTCTGCTGGGAAGCAGAAGGGGGCCGGGCCTGGAGTCCTGCCCTCCCTGCTGCTGCTTTGAGTTTCTGGAATACTGCAGGGTCCTGGGCCACACCCAGGGCTACAACCAGAGAGGCATATAGGGGACAGGGGCTCGCCCGCCAGAGAATCCTCACAGGCCCAGAAATGTCTAGGAGCTTGAGGCCTTTAAACCCCAGGTGCTCGACTGCCAGTCTGCGTCCCAGCCTTTTAAAAAATTATTTGTTCACTTACTTACTTACAGCAGTACTGGATTCTGAACCCAGGGCTTGACATTTGGTACATCCCCAGCACCCTCCCTTTTTTCTTTCTGAGGTTAGGAGACTTACTGGAAATAAGAAGGAAAAAAAGGCTCCTAAAGTTTTTGTAAATAAGGAGGGGAAGAAGGGCTGAAGGGAGGCTAGGGGAAGGGAAAAAATAAAGAATCAGATGTAGCATGCACAAGTACAAATTCCCTGTGAATGTGATCGTGTGTATATCTAAAATGTACCAGTAAAGCTGGGCGTGCTGGCACACAGCGGTAATCTCAGCACTTAGGAGACTAAGGCAGGAGGATTGCTGTGAGTTCAAGGATAGCCTGGGCTATATAGTGAGTTTAAAGCCAGCCTGAATTACAGAGTAAGACCCTGTCTCTAAAAACAAGAACAAAACAGCAACAAAAAAGTACCAATAAATTTAATAAAAATATTTATTGTACCAATATATATAAATATTGTACCAATATATATAAATTCATATATAAAGATCAAAAACTACTACAAATACACTGTCAATATACTTGAGGTATGATGCACTATTTCTATACTTTTTTTTTTTTTTTTTTGTCTTTTTTGACAGGGTCTCGCTATGCAGTTCAGGCTGGCTTGAGCTCACTTTGTAGCCCAATTTGGTCTCACATTTGCAGCAGTTCTCTTTGTCTCAGCCTCCAGAGTGCTGGGATTACAGGAGTGTGCCACTATACCCAGTTTCCACATGTTTTAATAAAATATACTACATAAAAAAATAAAAATTTTAGCCAGGCATGGTGGTGCCCACCTGTAATCCCAGCACTTGGGAGGCTGAGGCAGGCAGATTATTGCAAATTCAAGACCAGCCTGGGCCACAAAGTGAGCTCAAGGCTGGCCTGAACTGCATAGTGAAACCGTGTCTCAAAAAGACCAAAAAAAAGGGCTCCTGGTTTGTCCAGGGTGGGAATCCAAAAGGTGGAATTTCCACGTGACCCCTTGGTCCAGAACTTTTTATGGATAAGCAGAGCACAGGAAGTTCTTGATTGCTTAGTGGTCTCCTATCACAGGCAGCCCTGTGGGTTTAAAATGACCGTTTGGAACAAAGGGTCTCTAACCCAAGTGTTCAGCATGTAGCCCTTTTTGTGAGAGGGCCTGGTGTAAATTGCTAAATTGCCCATGCAAGGCTCAAACTTGCCATCCTCCTGCCTCAGCCACTGCACCATGACCACGTAGCTGGGATTACAGATGTGCATACCACAGTAGTGTCTCTGCGGGGCACTGCTTCTGCTCTTAGTATCGAAACAGCCCTTTTAACAATCCCACAGTTAAGGACAAGTACAACAGGGTCTCAGCATGTGTTTAAGAAAACCAAGGCACCCAGAGGCGGCCTCGCCTGCCTGGAGTCCCAGACTCTGAGAGGAGCAGGGTGTATCCCGCCGCAGCCCCAAGGGGCCTGCTCCATCCTGAACCACTCCCAGGAGTGTCTGGGATGTGAGAGGCAAGGGTACACACAAAGGTCCTGTCTGCTTCTAAGCATATGATGTGAGCAGTCTGTGTTAGTCCCATGATGATGATGATGGTGACTTTATATAGCTTGTCAGGAAATTCACAGAGCCAAGCAGGGTGGTACAGGTCCACAATCCCAGCACACAGGGAGACTGACGCAGGAGATCCCAAACTCCATCCCATCCTGAGCACCTCAGCAGCTTAATGAAACATGTCCCAGAGATAAAATAAAATGAAATATAAATTTAAAAAGCCTAAAAAAAAAAAAAAAAAAGCCTGAGGGCCAGGGATTTAGCTCAGTGGCATAAGCGCCTGCCTTGCAAGTGTGTGGTCATGAGTTTAATTCCGGGTACAAAAAACACCTGGGGTTGTACCTGTGAGGACCTGGGTTCAATCCTCAGTACACCTCCCCACACCTGAAAACAGAAAATTCTTCTTGGGAAGGAATACCTTCTCCAGGACAGAGGGACGGGGAGGGAGCCAGAGGCTGGGAGCCCTGAGGTCAACGTGGGGAGGGACAAACTTCTGAAGAAGCTTTAAACACTGAGACTTCAACAGAACCATGGATCCCAGGAGTCCTTAAAGTGGGGTTTGGGGTGGAATTCAGGGGACCGTGAACCTGGAAGGAGCTCTCTTCAGATTATCCCTCAACTGAAACCTGGCGTCTTCCTCGGGAGTGTAGGTGGTACCCCACAGCCTGCGGCCCTGTCCCCTGCCGTGCTGTCCCCTGACCCCCTCACGGTGCAGGTGGAGACATCATCAGGTAGCCTGCGTGGCTCCAAACCCCAGCGCCTGCCTGTCACTCAGCATGGCAGCAACTCAGCAGGTAGATGGTGTTGCAGAGCTGGCTACACTCTTAGAGGAAAACCTCAGCATGAGTCTCCGTGTGCGACCTGGGGTCAGCCAAAGTCCTACGTGCCCAGAGCATGAAAATAACAACGAGAAGGTACATTAGACTTGATGACAACTCCAACTTGGGCTGTCCATTTGGGACCCCAGCTGTCTCTCAGGAGCTATTTCCATTCCCCTTTTTAGTCCCTGTTCTTTTCCTCCAGTAAATTTTCCTGCTCTTACAAGAGAAAGGGAGAGAGAGAGACAGAGAGAGAGAAAGAGGACAAACAAGCAAGCAAGCTGGCTTGAGCTTGGGGACACTGTTGACTCTCTCCCCCAGCACACACAGTTGCATTGGGAAAACTAAAACTAAAGCTCGTCCTATAAATGATGCCATCAGGAAACTAAAAAGAGCCGGTCTTGTGGCACGCACCCCTAATCTCGGCACTCTGGGAGGCTGAGGCAGGAGGACTGCAAGTTAATGACTTAGCAAGATCCTACCCAAAATATTAATTAAAAAAGCTGGAGATTTAACTCTGGAATACGCTGGGTTCAGTCCTCAACACTGGAAATGGGAAAGAGGGAGGGAGGAAAGGAAAATGGGAGACATTATTCACAGTGTGTCTGGTCAGGGACTTTAAAAATGTTATAAGATTTCTCATAGCTTAATAACAAGAAGTAAGGACCAGGCATGGTGGTGCATGCCTGCAAGCCCGGCACTCAAGAGGCTGAGGCAGGAGGATTGCCATGAATTCAAGGCCAGCCTGGGCTACAGGGTGAACTATACAACCAGACCCTGTCTCAAAGCGAACAAAAAGAAAAATAAGAAACTACAATGAAAAATTAAAGAGCAACAACAAAAAAAGTGTTGTTTCCTGCCCAGGGGTTTGGGGGAGAGGAGTTAGCACTGACATGTGAACCCAGGACCTTTACACTGAGCTACATCGCAGTCCTTAGTTACTGCTTATTTCAAGACAGAGTCTTGTGAAGTCACTAAGTTCCCCAGGCTGGGCTCAAACTTGCAGTGCTCCTGCCTCAGCCTCCCAGAGTGCAGGATTACAAGTGTCCACCACCATGTTTGGCTAAAAGAAAAAGAAAAATGTGTGCGTGTGCGTGCGTGCGTGCGTGCGTGCGTGCATGTGTGTGTGTGTGTGTGTGTGTGTGTGTGTGTTAAATAACATAACTACAGCGAGTGCTGACTTCATGATGCCAGGAGCACTGTTACCAGGCAGACAATGAGCAGAGAGCCTCGCAAGGACGTGCAGAACTCGGGAGGTGCCTGGTGGACAGGGGCAGGGCCCATGGTCCCTGCAGCTCAGAGCAGCAGCTGACCGGAAACTCCCTCCCAATCAGATGCCTCTGGAGCTGGAATCGCCCACATACAAGGGAGATATCGTGTCCGGGGAGGTGACATCAGTCTCTTTCTCAGCCTCTGCATAGCCCACACCCGGCGTCCAGCAGCTGGCCCACAGTTGGACAGACGGGAGCACACTTAGACCCCAGACAGGGGTCCTCTCGGGATGGGGAGAGGACACTTTGCTGCACACTTTGTGGGGACAACCCCCAACCATGGCGCTGCCCAGGGCATGTCTCTTACACAGCACTGACCACACAGCAAACGTTCAGCACAGGGGCTGTGTGGACAGAGAGGAGATCGGGTGAGCAGGAGCCCAGGAGTCCGAATGAGGTCTGCCCGCTGAGGGGACCCCAACTCGGCTGGCGCTGTGACCCCCGCTGCCGAGTGCCGCAAGGTCCCCGTGGATCACGGTGGGGGTTGCACAGCTCTGGCACCCCAGGAGGACAGGGAACTGACTGCTCTGAATGCTTTTTTTTTTTTTTTTTTTTTTTTTTTTTTGAGGGCCTGAGAGTTGAACCAGGCATTTGCACTGAGCTCTGTCGCCAGCCCCTCTTTAGTTTTTTATCTTGAGATACTAAG